TCCATCTATGTATGTTTTGATATCACCACCCTTGGCAGTTCAAAGAACAAATCCCTCTCCATTACTTCCTTCTGTATTGCTCCTCATACTGAGGAAATCTTCATCTTTAGCAGCATCTTCAAATTTTGCCTTAAAATTCACCTTTGTGGTTTCTGGATAAAATTGTTCAGGATTAAACTGGTGGGATGTTGTAGCTGGTGCCCATCACCTAGCCATTGCCCTAGCCAAGACTCTATACACTGTAGGACTGGAAAACTGATCCAAAATGGCCATGGTCCATCACTCCCCAGCTAAAATCCCTCAGGAAAAACAAAGACCCAGGAGCACCTGCTTCATCTTGGGTTGCCAAAACAGTGCTCGTGGTAGGGTCTCTTCCTTCATGGAAGGGTTCTTCCTGTGGATTCATACAACCAGGTCCAGAAAAGACCGATGCTTTGGCAGCTTGAGTACACACTGTCCATCTCCACGGGCACTTGTTAATGTACTGTAGCTGACTTGTGAAGAATATTTAGAAAAAAAGAAAATATATATATACATGCACAGTGTTTAATCGGCTTATAAACCCCACTGTCATGTACAAGTGGGATGGATAGTCTGTAGTGGTCCAAGCGGGCTGAGACTGTGGGACCGGGAGCATTGTCCCTGCTGTGTGTCAGGGGTCTCCCAAAAGTTTTATTTTCTACATTTTAGCTTACTAACTCTGAAGACTGAAGGAAAGCTCCAGTCTCTGCACAGGTCTCCTAATTTCCCTGTGGGCAGCTGCTGCATGTGTGTGCCAGAGGTGTGATGTTGGTGAGTTCTACACTGACTCCTTGCCGAGCTGTGTGGTTGGGTTGCTGGCATCATCTGTTCTGGCTGTTTCAAAGGGGAGAATTAATACTATGCTGTCATTGCATTCCCTTTGCAAATTTTGTCAAGCTTCATGCTTTGCCATTTTCTGTTCTCTTTACAGTGTTTGTTACAAGAATGGGATACGGTAATTTTAATGCCCAGTATAGTCTGTGAAAGACTGTAAACGTTTAATAGACCCATAAACACAGGCTTTAACCTTTTCAATATTTGGCACCTGACGGGCCCTCACCACACCATGTCCCCCAGGGTACTGTTGCCAGCAAGTGGCATGGCCACAGCAAAGGGCACCCACCAGCACCACCGTCCAAAAGGTTGGAGCATTGCAGCCAGCTGCCACCTCCCTGGGGGGGGGGGGGGGGGGACACAATGTGCTACCGCCGTGCTGGGACTTGGGCTGGGAAAATGCCCAGGATATTTGGCATGAAATAACAAGAAGTGTTTTTGTCATCAAGGGTGAAGAACGCTACAGAGTTTGTACGCAGGGGTGCCACAAATGTGGTACTGTTGGAAATCAGCTGAAATTTGTGTGCAGCACAGCGAGTGGCCTTAATATATCAGGCAAGGCAGGCTTTACTTTTTAATCTCGATTTAGGATGGATGCAACAGGCACTGCTTTGCCGAGCTGAGATTAAATTGCTCTGTTCTCCCCTTCTGTCCCTGGCACAGCATTTGGAGCAGCCCAGTAGTAGTCTGCCAAGAAGAAAGAGCCCAGGCAGTTTTCTACTACAGCTCTACTACAGCATGGGTGCTATACGACAGTATCACTTACTCCGTGATTTTTTTTGTTAAAATGTATCATGGCTGTATAATTTGGGGTGCACCACGTTCTCTCTGCCGTGGCTATGTGCAGGGCAGGGAGTGGGAGCTGCACACACACGGTGCAGCATTGCCCACGGGGAGGATCAGCCTGCAGTCCCCGTCCTTAGGCTGAGCTCCCGCTGCTGGGCTGCTTCCCTACATCAAAGGTAATAAAGTTTTAAATCAATGGAGTCTAAACGTATGCAGAGCTGTAATCTTCCTGTCGGGTCGGTAATCCCCCCGTGACACTCGCAGGATGGTTTCTGCAAACTCCACGTTCTAGCCCTGAATTAGCATTTCTTAGGTCGGAAGGACCCGCTGTGTCCATACAATGCGTGTGAAGCCCAGCGCAAAGCACAACATCTCAACAGTGTTTGTAATTCTGTGTTAGCAACTCCATTTGCAGGAGTTGGAAAAAGCTGTGGCTGACTTTGTCCCTCCTGCAATTGTGTTTTTGTCTGGATTTTGACTTCATTCCCCCCCTCCAGCACAGCCTTTGCACAGAGCTCCCAGCACCAGCGGGCAGTGCTCAGTCTGGTTCAGGCGGATCGCAGGGTCCTGAGAGCAGCGGTGTGACACAGATCCCATCCTTCAGGCAGAGCCATGGCCAGAGGAGCTCAGGCACTGCCATTAGCCATAGCCACGTTCTGGTTAATGAGATCTGCAGGCTGTTTTGTTAATTATTATTATTATTATTTTCCTTCCCAAAGATAGAGATGCAAAACAGAATTTCACGCCTCAGCCAAAAAAGAAAACAACATCCGTGCAAAAATGGTGTTTGGAGTCCGGGTAAATATTATTTGTACTTGAGCTGCAGATGCTGAGGAATGGCACAACTGAAGAAAAAAATCCAGGGGCAGGAACGTGGGGTCACGTTGGGTTCCTCAGCAGTGCCCAGCAGTGGCCAGAGACTGCTGCCTGCTTCTCACTGCTGCTGCAAGACGGGTGTTCTGACAAACTGTGCTTGGCAGAGCATTTGCAGTGCTGCTTTGTGGCACAGCGCTGAGCAGGGCAGACCTGCAGAGCTTGGGGTCAGGTGGGAGCACAGCACTACAGCTCACCACTATATTTGGGCTTTTGAAGCTCTTCTTTTCTTGCTTGAAATCCTGTATCTCTGCTCTCAGGGTGGAAGCAGAAGCCTTGCTTTTTTTTCATGATATGAAAGCAAAAGTTATTTAGTTTGGCCCCCTCCGTATATTACTGCTAACAAAAATAGATGCTGCTTGCTCTAACAACAGTCCGATTTGGAAATTATTTACCATTTAGACTTTGTCTACCCTAATTGCTTTTGATACTTCAGAATATATGTAATGGAAACCAGCTGAAAGGCTGTGGTTTAAAAATGGGCTCTTGCACATTGGAAGTAAATTTTATCCTGCAATCAGCCCTCAAGATCTTAACTGCAGCTCTCACGTCTCCTAACTCTGTAATTGCTGTGGAGCCTTTCTGGTCTGCTGGTTGCAGGCCACGGTGTAAGGAAAGGGGAAAGCGGTGCAGCATGGGGTTGACCCTGGGTTTGGGGACGTGCAGCAGGGCCGTGCCTGAGGCTGCATGTTCTGGGATGTACGAAGGCACAACGAAGGACTTACGTGCACAGCCATCTCCCTGCATTAAGTGGAAGCTGCCCTGGTGTGTGAGGGGATGAGTTGTGCCCGTGGGATCAGACCCAGTGCTGAAGGACCCATGTGGCTGCATGCTGGGGGCCGCTTGGCTCCATGCTGTAAAGCCACTCTTAAAAGCAAAGAGAGACAAGCTTTAAAAACCCTTCAAAGGAAAGAATTTAAGCCTTGGTCAGAGGCAGCTGGTTGTGGGACCACCATCCCTATGCTGGGCCATATGAGACTGTGGTGCTGTGCGGTTCCGTAACTTTGCTTCCATGAGTACACCCTTCTGTGGCCCTGTTCTGCTGCAGGAGAGCACAGCTTTTGGCTGCATTTTGACACTGCATATGGAGTAAGCCTCACATCCTCTTCTTTTCTAATACCCTACCCAGCAAAGGTGCTTCAGCCTCAAAAATTGTTAAACGTACTGAACGGTTCATCAGAATCTCAAAGCAGTAGAATTCATTGCTACCAGCAACGCTTCTTCCAGCCCCTTATTGCAGGAGCGGGTGTGACATCCCAGCACTAAATCAGCATCTCCATCACTGCGAGTGGCTGTGGGTGTGCAACACCAGTCCTCCTCATGGCCGTGCCAGGCCTCGGTGATGATTGTTGTTATTGTGCTTTTTAAATAATCTCCTAAATTCAGAGGAAGCCCTGACCCGTGAGCGTCCAAATTCCCTCCCTCCCCCCTCTGGTGCCGCTTTGTGCTCGGGGTGCCGGCCGCGTGGGGCACGGCACAGTGCTCGGTGCTTGACATTAGGTGGCACAAACGAGTTTCCTTCTGCTCGCCGGAACGCTGATGCACAGGGAACAGTGAGACGAAAATTGTCTTTTTAAAATGAATTTCTCCTTCCTTGATTTTGATGTTGGGTTGTTGTTTTTTTTTCCTTCTCCGGCTTTCAAGTAGTCCTTGAAGTTCTTTTGCTGATGAACTTTACTTCTTTCATCGCCTCTTTTTTGGCTGCGGGCACATGGCTGGAAGACGACCGGAACGCAGCGCTCCCCGTGCCGGGCGCGGAGCAGCCCCGCGGCTCGGAGGGACTTCGTTGCGGCGGGACCCCTCCGGCCTTCGGCCCCGCTTCCCTCCAGAGCTGAGCGGCGTGCGGCCACAGCCGGGGCCGTTCGCGACCCGCTGCCGTCAGCTCGCGGCTCGACGCGGCCGTCTCGTTGCGTCGATTGATACGCGGGGGGCCGGGGCCGCTTCCTTCTCCCGCCGTCCTTTTCTCTCGCCTCGCTCCCGCGGGCCGCGGGGCGACACCCGCGAGGCCGCGACCCCCCGGCCCGGCCGGGCCCGGCGCGCAGCGTTCGGCCCCCGCCGCTCACGGCCGCGCACCGCAGTTTCCTCGGCGGCGGCGGGGCGGAGTGCCGGCCGCTCTCGCTCCGTGCCCGCACCCCTTCCCGCGGGCACCGCTCACCGCGCGGCCGGCATTCGGTGTGACCGCCCGGCGGCAGCGCCGCGACCCCGCAGCCCGGAGCGGGAGCGGCCGGCAGCGGGAAGGGAGGCGGCGAGGCCGGGGTCCGCGCACAAAGCACGCACCGCACCACGCGTCCGTGCTTTTTGTAAAAACGTTTATTTAAACTTTTTTTTTTTTAATGTTGATTTTTTTTTAATTTTTCCTTTTACAACAACAAAATATTGCGTCGGTAGAAACCCCTCCGCCCGAGCCCGGCCGAGCACCACCCGTACAGCGACTGCCCCGTGTGCGGCCCCGCACCGCTGGGCCCTCTGCTTCCTTCGGCTTTGGGTTCTTTTTTTTTTTTTTTTTTTTTTTTTTTTGTTTTTCTTTCTGAAACTTTTTTTTTTTCTTTAAACATAATGCGGAATTTATTGAAAATAAATAATTGTTGGCAACTGCAATAGGCAATTTTGGATAAAATAGTTGAAAAAAGCAACCTTTAATGAAAATAGCGTTTATTATACATCAGTTACTAAATGAATAAACTAAATGATCTTTCTTTAAATTAATAACTTCCAAAAAACGTTTAATATACAAAACTGTACAGTTATAAAGTTGGCAGAAATAGGCAGGTCCTCAGTGTCGAGATTTTTTTAATTTTTTTTAATTTTTTTTTTTTTTTTTTTTTTTTTTTATAGCGCTTACTGAAAAATACTTGAAAAATAGAAATGTCGAAAGGAAAAAATCTGAAGGCCGGGGGAGGGGGAGCGGGGCACGGCCCCAGCCCGGCCCGCACCGCTCGGGGCCCCGTCCTTGTGCACAACGTCCAGGGGGCGGCACGGCTCGGCACTTCCCTATGCTGAAAGAATGGGGTATGGCATTAGCGTTGTATTGACTTTGTTCTCCTCCTTTTTTTTTTTTTTTTTTTTTTCCCCTCCCGGTCCGATATATATATATATATAATATTATATAGGTATAATTTTATATATATATTTTTTCCGCTAATCCAGCATCCCTGTGACGCGGAAATAAGCTCAGCGTGAACCAAATGCTGCCCCCCTCCCCCTCCCCCTAAATCACGACCCCCCCCACTCCCACCCCTCTTTTCGCTATTGAAACAAAACACAGAGAAACTGATTTCCGAAGCCAAAGCGCAGAATTACGAAGGTGTTTTACTACAGACCTCTCCGTCTGGCGCTGACCGAAAAGCCCCGAACGCCGGGCGGTACGAAACGCCGCGGGCTTGGGGTGATGCCTCATTTCGGATCGCTCGGAAATTATTATTTTTAATTTTTATTTGTTTTTTTTTTCATTGGAGGGGGGAGGTCAGCGATTGAAACTTGACCGGTTGATCGGGGGGAGTTGTTGGGACGGAAGGGGGAAGCGGTGAGAAAAGAGCTGGTTGGTGGTAAGGAGCCCCGGGAACGGCGATGGGAAAGGGAACGGGAAAAGGAGAGGAAAGGGGAGGGGGACGGGGAAAGGGATGGGAACGGAGAAGGGGACGGGGGTGGGACGAAGGGTGGCGGCCGCCCTGCCCCGTCCCCGCTCGGTGCCAGGCGGGGAGGGAAGGACGCGGGACTGCTCGATTCGGTACAAATTAGCTCACAAATATTGTGTACAGTTTGTAGTAAAACACCTCAGCCATTTAAAAACGCTATAGAAGTCTTTAAAAATGCAAAACTAGTCTATTGTAAAACAGATTCACCTGAAATACAGCTGATATAACCAAGGCGCTGGAAGGTTATTCATAGGCACACGTCTGTCTTTTTTCCTTTCTGTTGTATTTTTTTTTTCCGCGTTTTTCTTTTTTTTTTTCGCGTTTTTTGTTTGTTTGTTTTGTTTTCCTCCGTCCGAAGCCCGCCCGTGTCCGCGAGCAGCGCCCATCCAGGGCCGGGCGGCGGGCACCCCCGGCCATTCGCAGGCGGCGCTCAGCCCGGGCCGCCCCTCCGCGGGGTCGGGCGGCGGCGGCGGCGGCGCGGCAGCGGGGGGGAGTCGGGCGGCCGCGGGCAGGTCCGAGCCGGCGGCAGCCCCGGTCAGAGGTCGTGGCAGGCCGAGTCCGTTTTGACGCCGTGCGCGTACACCTCGTGCTGCTGCTGCTCGCCCGGCGGCGTCATGCGCTTCTCCTTCTGCCGCCGGTTGCAGAACCAGACCCGCACCACCTCCTTCTCCAGCTGCAGGCTGTCCGCCAGCGAGGAGATCTCCTGCGCGGCCGGCTTGGGGCACTTGAGGAAGTGCGTCTCCAGCACGCCTTTGACACTCACCTCGATGGAGGTGCGCTTCTTCCTCTTCCTGCCCTGCGCCGCGATCTTGTCGATGCTGGTGGGGCTGCCGGTGGAGGAGTCGGCCTCCTCCAGCCACTTGTTCAGCAGCGGCTTCAGCTTGCACATGTTCTTGAAGCTGAGCTGCAGGGCCTCGAAGCGGCAGATGGTGGTCTGTGAGAAGACGTTGCCGTAGAGCGTCCCCAGCGCCAAGCCCACGTCGGCCTGGGTGAAGCCCAGCTTGATGCGACGCTGCTTGAACTGCTTGGCGAACTGCTCCAGCTCGTCCGAGGTCGGCGTCTCCTCGTCCGAGTGGTCCTGGCAGTGGTGGCCGCCCAGCTCGCCGTGCTCCCCGGGGTGCAGCCCCTGCGGCGGCGGCGGCTGCTGCGCGGCGGCGGCGGGCGGCGGCGTCAGCCCCCCGTGCTCCAGCACGCCGCCCACCGCGAAGCCGGCCTGCGGGTACACGCCGAGCGGGGGGGGCTGCCCGGCGGGGCCCAGCGAGCCGCCGTGCGCCGGGCTGGCCCCCCAGGCGCCGGGGTGGTTGGCGTGGGGCGAGTGGTGCGAGACGTGGGGCGAGCGGTGGTGCAGCAGCGCGCCCAGCTGCAGGTCCTCGCGGCCCGGCTTCACGTCGGGCTGCTCCAGCGGGCCGCCCGCCAGCGCCGAGGGCCAGGGCGCGGCGTCGCTCAGGCTCGTCACCCAGTGGTGGCCCAACGGGTGCCCATTGCCGGGGACGCCCTGCAGGTACTCGCTCTGCAGCAGTTTCTGCGGGTTGCGGAACGGGCTCCCCTGCTGCATGCCCGCGCCGTCCGCATGGGCGAGCGAGCCGGAGCCGAGCAGGCCGTAGGGGTTGGAGGCGGCTGTGGCCATGGCCGCCGCGCAGCCCCCACGAGTTATACTGAGGCGCCGCCGCCGCCTCAGCCTTTGACATCCACCGGCACGGCGGCCCGGGCAGCGGCCGCCCGCCGACTGGCAGCCGCGGTGCCCAATGGGGGCGCGCCGCCGGCGGGGCCGCGCTGCGCGGGCCAATGGGGGACGAGGAGGCCGGCGGGGGGGCGGGGCGCGGGGAGCCGGGCTCCGCGCGGGCCCGAGGCAGGAAGTGAATCACTCCGCCGCTGCTCCGGGGGCCGGGCGCGACGCGGCCCCGCCGCTTAACTCCTTCCGCGCCGGGCGGGGCTGGGGGGGGCCGCGGGGCACCGCTTAAATGACGAGCGGCGGGCGGGCAGGCGGCTGTACCGGGCGGGGGAACGGCGGCCGCGGGACCACCCCGGCGAGCGCGGCCCTGCGTCCCTCTGCTCCGTTCCGCCCCGCTGCTCCCCGAGGTGCCGCGCGTGGCCGCGTCACACCGAGCGCCCAGCGCCTGCCCCAGGCTGTGCGCTCCCGAGGAGAGAAAATAACAAACAAACAAGCGAACAATAAAACCCACTAAAAGCCGTGGAGAAACCCCCACGGCGCCCAGCGCGGCCGTCGCCCCGCGGTTCCCCCTCCCCGCGCCGTCCCGCTCCGTGCGGGGCTCCGCGCTGCGCACTGGCGGTGCCGCTGACGGGCGGCCGCGGCGCGGTGCCCTTATTGGTTTGAAATTCCATTAAATATATTGCAAGAGCGCCTAGGTTAAGCTTGATTTAAATTTGCATACATTTTCATATATTTAGCAGAAATAAAAGAAGGCTTGCAGCTACCAGAAAGTCATTAAGGCATTAGTTTCCCTGAGAAGACAGATCTGAAGAAAATTCAAGAAAATGAGAAAATTGATAGAAAGAAGGTGAGCTCCCCCCGGCCCCCCTTCCAGCCCCGCTTTCCTACTTTACCACTATAAAAGCCCCGGGAATTTCTCGCCGGGGCTCCGGCACGGCGCTGCCCGCAATGGGGCTCGGCCGGGGCCGCCCGGGGGCACCGCGGGATCCCGCTCTGCCGCCCCCCGGTTCCGCTCCCTGGGTTCGGTCCCGGTCCTCGGGTGCGGGTCGCGTCGGGCAACGCGACCCGGGGACAACACGGCCGAAAGTTTGCGGCTCCTCGGGAAGCGGCCGGGAGCGAGAGGAGGGGTCAGCGCGGAGGTCAGGGGATGACAAATGTCCCTGGGAGAGGCGCGGCTGCGGCGGAGGGCAGCGGCGGAGCGCCGCATGCATCACCGCGGAGGGCGGATAAAGAGGGACCGCAGCGCCCGTTTTTTTTTTTTTTCCTTTCCTTTTTTTTTTTTTTTTTTCCCTTCCCTCCTCTCTCCGCCTTCACGAGCTTCTCAAAATAAATATCACCGGAGCACGCGGAAGACGATGTATATATATTCATGCATATCTCCACGCTGTATAAAAACGCAACTAAATTATTTAAAATTAATTTGCGCTTGAACTTCCGAAACAATTTTTCAAATCCCATCCGCCCGTGCAAACAGACGCGGAGCTCCGCCGCTTAATGAAGGCAGAGCGCGGCAGGGAGATAAACCCGACCGTCCCATCCTCGGATTTGTCGCCGATGTGCTGCGGCCGGGGACAGCGCTGCCGTAGGAGGAGGTTCCGTGCCTCCTCTGGGCGCGTTTGGGGTATTTTAAAGTGTTTTTATCTGCATATAGTTAAATCTCGGCGCTGTTCTAACTAATCTGCTGGAGAGGGTTTCTTTAGCTCTTTCCTGTCAGTCTAACTTCCCAAGTGTAACAGATGCCGCTCTCAAGCGGTCCTTTCTGCTGCTTTTCTTTATTCAGCCTCGCATATTTCTCCCCATGATCTGGGTTTCCATAGAGAGAGGAATAAAAGGGGGACCATGGCCACAAATCCCCTGCCCCATGCAGAATAAAAGAGCCTTATTCAATAGCCGACCCCGTCTGGACATGGGAGAAAAATAAGTACATGCAAAGCTACTGTTGCAAGAATTTGTAACTTATTTTTCATAGACTGGGACCCATTAAAGTAAAAAAAAGTTTCTCGGTTCGGACCGAGCTCTGCGGTCCTCCGGCTCCGGTGCCTCCGCGCTTCCCGTTCCCCAGCGAACCCCTGGCGTTAATTTTTTTTTTTTCCTTTTTTTCTTCTTCTTCTTCTTCTTCTTTTTTTTTTTTTTTTCCTTTCTTTCCTGCTAAATCTTTGGCACGAAAAAGCTCGCACAATAGCCGAAGGAAGCCTACCGTCTCGGGGCAGCTAGAAGTCGCTATAGAGAAAGGCCGGCTTTGAAGTGGAGGAGCTGTCATTGTGGCGGAGTCCCCGCGCCTGGCGCAGGCTCGGCCGGGACGGCCGCTGTCGGGGGGCAACTGCTCGGAGCCCCCCGGCTCGGATCGCCCTTCCCGGCGTGGGATCGGGGCGGGCGCGGAGCGGCAGAGCCCGGCGGAGGCAGAGCCGTCACCGCGGCCGTGCTCCGTGGGGGGACGGGGCTGCTGTGTCCTGTGTGGGGCTGCCGGAGCTCCTCCGGGTGTGCGGGTGTGAGCGGTGCGGTGGTGCGGTTCCGTGCGGCGGGGAGCTCCCCGAGAAGCGCGAGGAACGGTGCTGTTATCACGCGTTTATTATATTTTAGATATTTTTTTTTCTCATTGTTCATCCGCAGAAGGAGGGGGGGGGGGGGAGGAAGGGGGAGAGGGGGAAAGAGGTCTAAAAGGGGTTCGTTTTGATTGTGTTTAATACGGCATGAAGCTCGGAGCGGTAAGCGGCGGCTCGGTGTCATGACCTCTAGATTGAAAACTTCACCTTCAACACAAGTTCACTCCGGAGCCAGGACGAGTCGGGCTGCGCTCGGTGGGAACAAGTGCAAATTTCCAAACAGAGTCAATCAGAGCGGGGAGGGGGGGCCGGGGAGGGCATTCGGCGCTCCCGGAGCCAGGAGTTGAGGTTCTCATTGTGTACTTCAAGGCGCTGGTACGAGAACCGCCGGGTTCCGGAGGTGCTTTGTGCAAAGCTAACCTGCGCGGGAGAAGGTTGGGAGGAAAAGAGGAATTTACGGAGTATTAGCAGAAATTAGCCAATACCGACACAAGCTCAATTAGTTCTTTTTTTTTTTTTTTTTTTTTTTTTTTTGGTCTCTGTTGGCTGCTCTCGAACGTGAGTAAACGCTGTGCAGGGAGAGAGGAGGGAGAGCCGCAGCAGCGCAGTGCCATCGCAGAGCCGCAGCTGTGGCGGACGGACAGATCGCAAATGAACGCTGTCCCAGTGTCAGAGCGGCCGCAGCCCCCACTGCCCCCGTTAGCACCGACCCCCCCGCAGCGGCGGGGCAGCGCACGGAGCAGGGTAGGCAGGGACAATGGGCGAGGCACGGGCAGAGAACCGCAAGGTAAATGGCATTTGTCTTCTAACCGCTGAGCTTTCCAAATCGTTCTGTGCGGCTCCTCGCTGCTCTGCTCCGATCGCCATTTATTATCTCTCTCTATGTATATATATATATTTTTTTCCACGTTGTTAATGTTTGAGAAATGTACTTGCTGGAGAAAAAAAAAAATGTCGTTCATTTGTGCACGAGCACGTCATGTTCTCCGCCAGTTCGGCGGCTGTGTGGCAGGTACTGCATCGAACATTTGGTTGGTTTGCAGCTGAGAGCAAAAATAGTCCGGGAAGTCTCTGCAAAACGCCCATTTGCAGCGTGGCACCGCTCTCGCCGTGGGTTATGCGCACCCCGGATTAAATCCACGGAGGGAAAGGTCGGGTTTGTTGTGCTCAGAACAGGCGGAGGGGCTCGCTTCGTGCCGTGTATGGCTGTAAGGTCACGGGAGGAGTTAATAGATCCGCACGACAATGCGGATCGCTTCCCTTTACATAGGCGCTTTCCTCACCGTGCGGTTGAGACTCGCGTGGTCCCCGCGCTGTGCCCGGCTCTCCCGGACCGGAGCACCGCAGTTCTGCCCACCGTTCTCCCCCTCCGCCGGGCACGGGGAGCCGAGGGCCGCCTCGCAGCCCAAGGGCCCACCTCCCATTTTCATTATTTAGTTAAAATACAATTCCCGAACGCAGAGTCCTGCTCGGGCATATTGAAAGGAGAGTGGCTTGGATTTGAAAAAAGCACCAACCCGAGTGCTATTGAACCTCTGTTGACTAATGAGACATCGAAGACAAATAGCTCTGTTCCGAGGATGACAGATCCCTGCGTCGTTGCTTCTTGGTTTACCGAAGAATTTCAGTGTGTGTTTTTATTTTTAACTATACGTTTTCCCACCTTTCTCATTCAGCCCGCAAATCGCTCTGTGATGCTCGCGGTCCTGCAGAGGGATCTTAACGCCTCCTGCAGCCCGAGGTGCCGCGTCACTCCTCGGCTTACGCTTAGAAATACCTCTGTGGCACCGTTAATTCTTTGTTTTCGCTCAGATGAAATGTTTACACTTTGGTGGCAAGTTTACTCCCCGTCTCATCCACGTCGCGCCAATCAAAGCCGTTATAAAATAGGAACTTTCAGGCCGGGCTGTGCCGCTGAAAGACGTTTCCTTCGCGAATCGCACTCGGGCGATGGCAGGGAGCGCTCAGGGACAGGAGGCTCGGGGTTCTGCGATTCGCGTCGCCATACGGGACGGTGCCGCGCAGGTGGATGCGCGGTGACGGCCCCCAGCGCAGCGCACAAAGGCTGGGCCCGGCCCCTGCCCGACCCTCCCCCGCTGCCCTCGGGACAGCCCCAGGGCCCGAGCCCCGGCCTGCGTGAAGAGAGCGGCCGGCACTGCGCAGCACGCGGCCGTGCTCTCTCCCTGCACCTTTTTCTCCTGCTTAAAGCCGCCCGAGGCCACGGCGGCCCTTTCCCCGTGGTGGTGGAGGGGCGGCGGGGCCGCACGCGTGCGGAGCCGGGAGAGCCATAAATCAGAGCAGTCCCGAGGACAAATCGAAGCGCGCACGGGAGAAGAGCCATTAAAGGGGAGCCGCAACCCCTCGGCGTGCCAGCGCTCCGCTGCCCGCTAGGAATAAATAGAAATAAATCAAAGTCGAGGGGTGAGGGGGGGCCGGGAAACACCATCCGCAAACTTTCCGCCGGTATCGGCTGTGCCTTTGTTGTGCTTCGGGGCCGCCCCTCCGCCGGCCGGCGGCTCTGAGTGCCACCTCCGAGTGCTCCCCGTTCTGCGAACCGCTCCGAAATTACTAGTAGGGGATAAGTAAGCTGCGAGTAAACCGAGTGAATTAGGTTGATTCTCTATCAGTTTAATTTATGTTTTATAGTTAGTTTAGCCTTCTGATTTGATTGCCTTAGTAATGTGAATTGCCTACAGCTGCTGATGATACAGCTTTAATTCTGTTTTAAAGGTCATGTAAACATGTGCCTGTAGCAGAAGGAATGCAAATTCAATTCCCTTTTAATGCTGCCTCACATTCACTTCGCAGCCCTCACCTAGGAAATGAGCGGGATTTAATATCAAACTGTCTCAACACCCCGATGCCGTTACGAAGCCGTCGGAGCGCCCTGGGGCGGCAGGGCTGGGGATGCCCCGCTCCGCCCGCAGCGGGAGCGCCGTGCAGGTGTGTGCGAGCGGGCTGGGCTACGTGACGTAAGGCAGAGAGCCTCGTCCTGCCGTGCTCCAGGAAAAAAAAAGAAAAAAGAAAAAAAAAAAAAAAAAAAGAAAAAGAGGGAAAAAAAAAAAAAAAAAAAAAAAAAAAAGAGAAGACCCCCCTGCCCGTTTTGTTCACGGGGTTTTAGTGAAGTTGCTGGGAAGTTTCGTGGTGGAAGCCTTTGAAACGACGAGCTCTAACGAGTGGGGAAGAGCATCACAAAAAGACACTTTGAACAGGGAGCGATGTGCCCTCGCCAAGCGAGAACGGCCGAGGAGCAGCCAGCCCGCCCGGCTCCGCGCTGCCAGGGCCGGCACGGCCGGCACGGAGC